AGGCGCGTTGGCCATGAGTCAAACCCAGGTCTTCTGCAGGGGAGGTGGGAATTCAACCGCCAAACAACAAATGGCTCCTCACTTCCATGTTAGCCTTCTTATAAAAACCTCTGCATAGCAGGCAAAAGAATCTTAAATGCAGGTGACACCATGCCCTTCCTCAGCTTAAAACAGCCTCAATGGAGTCTGAGCAAAACGAAGACACCTTGGCTTGGCACGCCATGCCTGAAACGGCCTGCTCTGTTCTCACTCGGCTCTGATCGGGCTGGCTTTCTGCTCCAGAACTCGCTTGTCCGGACCTCGGCACCCTCTCCCTTTTGTCCCACTTACCTGGAAGTCCCGACTCCTGCTGTTCGTCCAGGCCTCCCGTCAAAGGCCAGCCCTCCGGAGGCCTTCCTTAGCCACACGCCCTGCTTAGCTGTTGTCTAGTTTCTGGCATCCCACTAGAAGCTAGGCTCCAGGAGGCCCTCTCCTCACTCCACTGTTAAATCAGTGAGGTCAATGGCAAATCAAAGACCTTCAACGGATCAGGGTTAGAAAAAAACTAATCAACTCGTTTTTTAAAAACTAGTTCATTTAAAACTAGTTTTAAACTAGTTTTTCTAAACTAATTGAAAAAAACTGCTCTCCAAGAGGATTCTAGCAATTGGCACGCACACTGGCAGCACGAATGTCCATTTTGGCTCTCACTGAAGCGCTGTCCTTAGACGACGGCTCAAGAGTGGGTCCTTAGGGAGCCTCCGTGCGTGCCTTCCTTGGAGAAAAGCAATGACAACTCTGTCAGATTGAAAAAAATATCCCAAAGCAACCATCAGTCGCTGCAGAATTCTGACTCATGCGATTCAATGGTTCAGAGTAGACCCCACTCCAGTGGGTTTTCAATGACTTCGAGTATTTGGACGTAGGTTGCCAGGCCTTTCTTGTGAGGCCCTCAGGGTGGATTTAAACCACCAACCTCATAGTTAGTAGCCAGGCTTTTAACTGCATCACTCAGGAACATTTGAACCGAGATCAAAGGAGACTTTGTGAGAGCCAGTTATGTTACACGACAAGATATAAGGTTCTGCTTTCCTCTCTAGTTTAAATACAGCTGTCTTAACCTCCATTATGTAAATGAAGAAACATTTCCTTAACTCTTGCAATTGGACCCCAGAGAACTTTGTAAAGATGTTACTACTAATCTGCGTTCACACTTGGGATGTGAATGGATATAATTTCTGTACATTCCTTTCCTAAATTATCGAATTGTATTAGCATTTTGATTTATGAAACTCCATCCATCTATTAATTATTGACATTAGAGCATGTTCATTTTTGTACATTACGGTTTAGAAGAATGTTAAAATGTTAAGTCTTCACTAACTAGTGTATTAGAAGTGTATTAAGTTGGGTAAAGAGAAAGGCAATAAATGCTAAACGGGAGGCCGGCACCAAATGATGAAGGGAAGAAGACACGGGGAGGAGCAGAAGCATTACAGGCAACAAGCCAATGTTGCCACACACACCAGCCTGCAAGCACAGCAACAGTAGGCGTCAGCGAGTGGGTACACAAACACGGAAACTGATTGAGTGTGAGGAGGCAGATGGGACAACACCCACAAATAAAGCTACACTTGACAGGTGCTATTTCTCTATATAGTTATCTGTGCTGCCAGCATATTCATGAATATAGTTGTGCACAGGTGGCAAAATTGTGAAAACTTCTTAACTATAAGCAAACACATTTAGGGACTGGGGGCGGGGCCTGGGGACTCATTGTCTGGGACAATGCAAAGGTCCATTGGTGTAACATCATTCAATGTTCTACATCCCACTTCTGTGATTAGCTGCTGGAACCTTAAAAGTTTGTGAGCAGCCATTGAAGTTGCAACAACTGGTCTTTCTCTTGGTGCAAAGACGAGTGTAGATCATCAAAGATACATGGAAATTCTTCCAGAAGACTAATGGACCATGTGAACCCTGCCCCAAAGGCCCTGGGACTAGAACTAGATGATGCTCAACTATCGCTGCTGACCGCTCTGCAAGGCATCACAGTAGAAGGCACTGAGTAGACAGGGAGAAAAATGTAGAAATGTAAAATTCTGAAAAGAGAAAAAAAAGACTTACTGCTCTGATAGAGACTGGAAGAACCCCGAGACTATGGTCCTTCAAGTCTGGAACTGAGCTCTCCCAAGCCCTCAACTTTTCCCCAAACAACAGAGAAGCTCATAAGGTGAATAACAGCACCAGGTAGTTAACAGGCCAAACCGCTATATGAGATTAAAGGGGCATGGTGTTCCGAAGGCTAGGGATGACAATAGAAGCCCAAAATCCATTTGACGGATCCACACATGGATTAAGTCTCTAGTGATTCCCCTCTGACCATAGAGGGATGTGAAGAGCCATGTTATCAGACAGATATCATTGTAAAGTCGATTATGGCAGATTTAGTTAGGTTAAGATGTAATAAGCCATCATTTGATGTCCCTTTTGAACCATTTAAAATTTGTTCTAGTGTTTAGTATTTTCTGCTTTCTTTTCTGTTGAAGTCTTCCTCTGTTTTACTTTGTTATTACTATTAGATTTTTGTTGTTATGTTTGTTGTTTTCTTTTGTTTTGTGTTTTCTGTATATGAAATCCAGGATAGGTAAATCTATGGAGACAGTAACTGGAATGGTTTTTTGGGGGTATGGGAGGAAATGGTGAGGGGAAATGGAGAGCTAGTAATGATAAGTACAAGAAAGAAGACATAAGATGGGGGAGGGGAAAAAGAGGAGCTGATACCAAGGGCTCAATAGAAAGTAAATGTCTAAAATAATGATGGCAACATATGTACAAATACGCTTGATACACTTGATGTCTGGATTATTATAAAAGCTGTGAGAGCCCCCAATATAATGATCATTGAATTAAAAAAAGAGAAAGGCATGTTCTAAAACTGATTGTGGTGTTGATTGTATAATTATTCTTAATATGACTGAACTATTGATTTATATGTTATGTGAATTAGCTCATAAGGCAAGCAAAGATAAGAAAGAGTGGAAATAGGAAACATAGGAAGGCAGTAGGAAGAATATTTCTCTATGATAGACGTTGTCAATGTCATGAAATAAAATTTGTGAAGGGCATTTACAGAGGTCTAAATACAGGCATGTACATATGTAAATATATTTTTATATGATGATGGGTGTAGTATTAAGTTATGGTGATGGGAGGCCAGCCCCACCCGCTGCTAGTACTACCCACGGGTCCAGTAAGCACAATTGTATGGTTGAGATATATATATCATATATATTTATATAATATTAAAGTCATTGAGAGCATGAGAGATATTACAGTAATGTAGTTAGACACATTACATGGTAGCATTGCTCACCTCAGCCCCGCTTGATGGTCCTCGTGGGGGGAACCCGCTCACGAGAGCAGGAGCAGCCTCGGGACCAAGCACTGGGGAGCCTGCAGGCCCCTGAGAGCCAGAGAGAGCTCCTGGGCCCCGAGAGCCAGAGAGAGCCTCTGGTCCCAAAGCTGGGGAGAGCTTCTTTCTTTATTGCTCACCAATCATTTTATCACTTTAGGGGGACATGATTATAGAATCACACGTTACAGGAAGGGGCAGTATAATAGGCAAACATATTGTAGGAAGGGGATCTATGATAGGCATAAGCATAACAGGAATGGGAAGGTCTAGGGGTATACATGTGACAAGATGGGCGAACCCTGGATTCTTGGTGGCAGCCTACCCTTGGTCATCCTTGGGCGGGTTTGACCTCTCTAGTATCTCCTACAAGGAAACAGACAACTATTATCCCTATCAGAAGGGAGTGGGCCCTATTGTTGTGGGATAAACAGTGGTGTCTGCTTGGGCTAGACAGCTGATAACTCTCAGGGAGAATGACCCCCAATCCACTCCTAATGATCTCCAAGTGTACAGTCATTCTTAACCAGCTAAGTCTGGCATAAATTTGGGGGAGACAACTTGAGAGAAATCCTTCTCACAGATGGGGAAACAGATCTATGTGCATATATTTATAGGTTTAGTATTAAGGTCACAGATGGACATTGGGCCTCTACTCCTTCAATGCAAGAACACTTTGTTCTATTAAATTGGCATTCCATGATGCTCACCTTCCCGACACAATCACTGAAGATAAAGCGAATACATAAGCAAATGTGGTGCATAAGCAAAAGCTGATGGTGCCCAGCTATCAAAAGATATAGCATGTGGGGTCTTAAAGGCTTGAAGGTAAA